AGTGAACCCTCACAGCTGGCTGGGAAGAGATCCTTGTGTTGCAGCTGCAGTTGTGGCCATCTAGCTCCATGCAATTTCCCACTCGCAAAAGGTCAGATGAGGAATGCCCTGGCCTTGCAGTACCCAGGTGCAGGGGCCTACTGTGGGAGTCATCCACTCCCAGTCACTGCTATGCTGCAGATGTAGATCCCCCACAGCAAAGGTAGCTGTCTAGATTCCCTTTCCAGTCAGTGGGGAGAACTCATTTGGCCTATTTTAGATGCATTGCCTTCAGATGAGATGAGCTGCGCCATGAAAATGCCCATTTCTCTTTACTATACAGCAGGGTCTACTTGCGCAGACATCTGCATCTTCAGTACACTCCCTCAGCAAACCATGTCTGAGGAACCAGTAGGAAACAGCACTTCAGGGAACTGCATGCGCTGGGGCTGGATCAGTAATGACCAATGCATTAACACACCTTTTGAGAGCAGACGCATCACCTGCTGTTAGAGAACACCATAAGCAGCACAGGAAGCCTCACATAGGAAGTTCACTTCTTGTCCTGTCTTTAAGAAAATAGTCCAGATCCTGGCAGAAGGGGGACCTGGAGCATTTCCTCTTTACTCTGCTGTCACTGCCAAGAATATCACTCCGTGTTCCCCATGGACATCTAGATAGGATACCCAGAGAGTTTTCTAAGGTCCTACTGCAGCTGGCAAGTTGCTTAAAGGTTCCCAAGCAGGACAGGACATTTCTCAGACAGATGTGCACAGTGTGGACATTTCTCCTAAGCAGCTGCAGGTCAGATGCTTGCTGCAATCAGTGGGCATGCCTCTGCCCACAGCTGTACAAGGGGAAGAACACACATGTCTATACACTGGACAGGATCGAGAACATACATGTGCAAAGCCACATCTTTGAGAGTGCACCAAGCACATTACAGGTGCCCATCAGAATGGGTACGTATGCTGTGCAGGAGGCATGTTCTGAGCCCCTAAACAACATGCCTTGGCACGTGCCGCTTGGTAAAATCGATGTTCCCACAGACGGGGAGGAGGAAGAACAAAAAACAGGAGAAGAACTAAAACAGCTAAGGTTGTGGGACAATGCCATTAGCATTGCAAGAGACTGGATTCTGCTCCCCAGCTCAGTTGTTCTCAGTCTTTCGGGGTCTCAGCTCCCTGGAGGTGTGGAGTTCCCATTAGAAAATGTAGGTGGATATATTCAATAGCGGCTAATATACTGTAATACTTAGAGTACTTGGGGGTGGTCCACGTGTCTAGATCAGGATGTGAAGATTAATTACGGGCCACACCTTATGATCTCTCAGCAAAGCCCTTATTAGCTTCCGAAGGTGAATCCAGCCTAGATGTCAACTTGCCAACACAAACATAAACAGCTGGGGCTGGCAGGAAAATGAGAGAGAATCTATCTTCGCTAGTCAGACCTTGCACTTGGCAAAGACCACTTCCCTTGCCACTGGAAAAGTAAATCACAGGTAGCTAACTGATTCAGGATCTCCACAATCAATGCATAAAAGAAAACATGTTACAGAGATCCATGAAAAAGACACTACAGAGGGCCTTATCAATGACACTGCTTCCAGAAGGTGCTTTGCCCTAGGGCTCTGATGGGTTGCGACCACACCAAAAGCATCTCCACCCATTCCCCCAGACCAGACTTACAGCTACAGCCCACCTAGCTTTTCAAGGCTACTGCATGGCACTTTGCAATGGAGAGCCGCAGACAAAGCAGAAGGGGAGAAAGCCACCGAGGGCATCACCCAGAGAGAAAGATACTGACAAAGGCTGGCTCCACTCTCAAAAGTTAGGAGATCTTGCTGTTATGTCCACATGAAAAGCAGTCTAGGCAGATTCTGGTAGTCCTCATCACTGCAAGACAGAATGGGCAGCGATGCAAGAAAGGCCAGGACCTTATCCTCTCCTTCTGTGTATTCAAACTTGCCCACTGGAGTCTGTCTGAGGCAAAGAAAACTGCTTTTGCCCAACATTTTGGAGCTGGCATCAGGGAAACAAGGGCAAGAAAGAGCAAAGGCATTGCAAAAGGTAAGTCTCCAAGGAAACATTAAAAATACTTGTAACATTTGCCCTGATGTCCCTCAAAAGACAGTTCTTTTTATTTCCCAAGGCTTCTGTTGTTGCAACATGAGGGTGCTGCAAGAGATTAAAAGGGCAGATGCACTGCTTTCCTTTCAGAATGCGTTACTTTGACGTTGAGCAGCCAACTTCACACAAGGGGAATACGTGCTCATACTTTGTTACTGGAAGATTTCTTGGTCAGCCTAGGCCAGATCTCCCAGTTACGGCAATTATTTGCCAGAAATAAGCAGTGTTTGTTAGTGCGCTGAACTGACAAGGCCCTGTACGCTACAGGCACCTGCTCCTCTTCTCACCTCAGAGGGCGCACAATTGCGGAGCAAACAACCAAAAAGAGGTGGAACGCAACTGCAAGTCAAAGGAGGAAAGAGAGAAAATTCAGGCATCTCTGTAGCTGGCTGGAGCTCTGAGAGATACTGCTCTGATGAGGACAAAGCCAAAGTGCAACAGAATCGCTTACCCCAGCGGCACGGCGTCAGGCCTGTGACATGTACGCGACAGTCCCTTTGAAGGGTCGGGCACTATTCTCCCTTTGCAGGAACAGCACTCATGCTTCACTATGAGCCATCTCTGTGGGTCAGGAAACTATGGGAGGCCAACTAACAAGCATGAAAATTCTCCCCATCTCCTCCTTGGGAACACCTGCATGAGGAGGGATGCTTTTTCCCCTCACTTTGCTGGCCTAGAGAATCAAAAGGACACGGGAGTCGAGTCCCCTCTTCCGCACCTTCCTCAGGTCAGCCTGGCTCTGAGGGAGCCAGCTTTCATTAAAGCTGTTGCTGCATTGCTTAATGACTCCAAGTTCACAGTGCCTTGCTGGAGGAGCTGAGTGCATCATTATGAAGGCCTCTTTTCAGGGAGGGATTTTGCAACTCAACCGCATGAAATAGGAAAGTACTCAGAGCCAGCGTCACTGACTTAATTTTTTTTTCCCCTTTCTTTCACATCCCCATACATATTCTGCCAGGAAGACACAATTATTGGTCAGCCACCTTCCCACTCTAGCAGTACCACAGCTCAGTCCCTTCACCAGAACACCTTCCATCTTCCTCAGTGCTTTGAAGCTGACACGGAAAACACAGTTAGTGCTACATGCAGAAAGAAATTATTTCATCCTTTTTCCCCAGTGCCTCCATTTTCCCACATCTCTTCAATCCCTATCCTATCAGGTTACCCAAGCAATCAGAACCATTGTAATCTTTGGGCCAGATCTTGGTCAGCTCATTCATACCAGAGATCTGCATACAGAGAAGCACTTAATTGCACGAACAAGGCAAGAAAGATGCATCTCACTGACTTAGGAGAATTTTCTCTTATGAGCAAGGATTACTCATGAAACAAAAGGCTGCTGGCTCAGAACTGCATAAAGCTCCACTGTGCATTTACACAGCCCTTTTTCCGTATGTACATGCACACGTAAATGCACACAGCCTGACACATTTACGCAAGTTGCTGACACTCACTGTAGAGGGTCAGGGACATTTATGATTTAGACAAGTACATACAGATCTATGCAAGAGACTCCATAGCCTCTCTGAGCCCACAAAAATACAACATTGGACCATAAGCGCCTTAGATGGGTACACAAGCTCTTACGTCAACTGACAGCACATTGGGGCTCATGAATTTCCTCATTGTGTGCACATAAGCAGGGACTTTTGCGACACGTCATTGTCTAAGTAACCAAAGCAAATGCTTCCTAACCCCACGCTGAACTGCAGACCCATAAAGGAATCCCTGGAGGCAACAGGAGAAGCAGGTATCTGAGGGACAGCATGCAACAAACGGATACTGCAGAAGCAAGATCTTGCTAAAGACAGTGAGGACCCCCAGCCAAGACGTGGGCTTTTGGGGATTAGATGGCTATGAGCTTCACAGCTGTAAACATCATGTGTCCACCTCAGTGCCTTCCCCAACAACAGCTGGGCTGAGCCACCTCTCAGTACTATTTAAAGTTGTGTGAGCCACCTCTCAGTACTATTTAAAGTGAAGTACTATTTAAAGACCAGACTTTCTGGTCTGGCTGAGAAGAATTAGAACTTGCAGGGTCAGAGACCCAGGAAGTGAGTCAGAGAGAGGCCCAGCAGGGAGAAGGAAAGCATCATTTATAGACAGATTTATCGATTACCACAGACTTGCTCCCCCATAATCACTATTTTTCATCCCCAGCCACTCCCACAACATACCGTGACACAGAGACGACTCCTCTGATGGTAAAGCATTCCTCAGCTATCTACTCTTCCTCCAAAAGACAGCACTCAAAGCTTCTCCCCTTAAGCAGCCTCAAAGTTGGCTCTCACCACTGCTAGCATGAATGAAAGGGATTTCAGCTCCCTTTCTTCCTAAATCCCATCCCTTTCTGTTGAGAAGAAAGGGCAGAAGATGACCAAGGAAAGAGCCAAGCAACTCTCGATCACCTCCCACCTCCCTCCTGTCATTCTGCATGGATGTACCGGCAGGCTAGAAGGGCCGTGGGCCATTGTAGTCCCCATGCGCCTTCCCCAAGAGCTGCACGCAAGCCCGCAAGGGGAGCCCCAGAGCAGGTGCAGGTCTGGGAGGGCAAAGCTTGGAGCACAGTGCTCCTGGAGGCGACACGGGCATACTTCCCCCATAACCCCTCCAGCCCTCCCCAGGCACGGCAGCTTGGCATCTTCAGGCACCCTGCCTGAGAAAGGAAGGCAAAGTCATCTCTAGCCCTGCAGCCCCTGGGACCCAGTCCGCATCCTTAAAATACAGTGGGAGGAGTAGAAAAATTGGTCCGAGTCTTTTCTGTTTCCTCTCACTCCCTGCCCGCCACACACGCGCGCGTGCACGCATACACACACACACACAGCCCTGTGCATAAAGGATCTCTGTCCTGCTCAGCTCAGCCATGCAATGCCTGCAAGAAGCAAGAGTTACCTTATTCCCATAGCCTGAATCGCCTTCTCTCTCCATCGCGGCTGGGAAGCTGCTCCCATTCATGCTTTAATCCCTCGGAACAGAGGCACGATTCAAAGCGGCTGTTCACCCACTGGAGTGGGCTCCCCCCAGCAACCTCCTCCTCCTTCTCTCCTCCCTTTTTCCTTGTTTGTTACGTTAGGATTTTTTTAATGTATTTGTTCTTAATCCAGGCAGCAACCAAGACACTCCTTCACTGCCTCTCTGCCTCCCTGCTTCACTCTCAAAGAAAAAGCAGTGGGGAGCTCCTTCCTCCTCCACTGCCTCTGAGGACCTCGGGTTCCCCAGGTCTGCCTTTCTGCAGCGTGGCGTGGCGTTAAGGGAAAGAAAGAGTGAAAGAGGAAGGGAGGGAGGGAGCATGCAAACAGGGAGGAGGAGGAGGAGGAAGAGGAGGCCAAGGGGGTGCGGGAGGAAGGAGCCAGAGCGTGGCTGACTGCTTTGTATCCAGAGCAGCGCTGGCAGCCCCTTCCCCCCCCCCCCCCCCCCCCCCGGGGCGCGCCCCGCGCCCGTTTTTTTTATTTATTCCACTTAGGCAGGGGCACTTCTCCCTGCGACAGGAGGAAAAGCCAGGGAAGGCTTTGAGATGGCCCCTCAAGGAATTGGTTCCTGCTCTCCTCACTCCACAGCATCACCCACTGAGTTTGCAGCCACAGGCTAGGAAAGATGCTCTCCCAGTGCAGCATGCAAAAGGAAAGCGTGAGGCTAGGAAGGGCTGGGTGCAAGGGAAGGGTCTTGCTGGTGAAGAGGCTCAGCACCACTCTGAGTGAAGGTGGTGACCATCTGCTAGGGAGAAAGCAAGATCCACCTCCCGCCCCTCAGGAAGGCAGGCTGAGCTCTGCTCCACTATCTGCATGCACGCTTCAGCGGCGGCACCCTCCACTCCTCATAGTGCCTCATAATACCTCCCTGGCTGAGTCCACCTGGGCTTTGCAAGCCATGGGTAACACTTGTCAGATTTCATGCAACTTCCCTTCTATCCAGCATCACGCCTTTGCATAGCGCCACTCAACCACCACTACCCAAACTGCACAGTGCCCCTACATCCATCCTGGCAGCTGACACTAAGGGCCCCAGCACCGAGCCCCATCCTCCCCCCCCCCCCCCTCAAAAAGCCCGGGACCGGAAGGGGGGGGCGG